CTTTACCTAGTAACAATATTATTACTTTTTACCTACTATTTACTCTGCAATTACTTTATTACAAATCTTTATTAGTTATACTATTTATTATAGTATTTAACTACTTTGTTCTAACAAAGCTATATTCTATTATTAGAGAATAGTTATTGTTACCTCTCTATTCTTTACATATATTACTAATAAGATATTTCTTAATAGTAAGATTAGTAAGTAATATAATAAATATTCTAACTTTAAATTTATATACTTCTAGAACTATTATAATAATAAAATTAATTATAAGATCTTTAATAGATATAGTAGAAAATAAAGTATTTTTTAATTTACTTTTTAGATTCTTTAGGCTACTTCTTAAAGTAGATAAACTATTATATATTATATTTTAGATTACTTTCTATAAAATAGCTATAAGAATAGTAGTTTAAATAGCTACTTTAATTACTTCTTCTTTAGTAGACTTAAAATAATCTATAAAAGCTATAGTATTAGTAGCGTTTTAATAAAAAAGTAATTAATAAGAAAGAAAATAACGTATTAAAAGCTTTAGTTAGATAGTATATTAATATAACTAGTAATAAGATTAGAAATTAACTTATAATTAGTAGAAGAACTTATTAAAAGTAAGACTATAGTTAAGAGCTTATTTAAGTATTACATTTAAGCTTATTATATATTTAGCTTAATTTAGTATATAGATATATAAATATAGAAAATAAAAGAAGTATACTATTACTTAACCTTTAGTATATATATTCTAACTATAAAGCTTTATTATATATTACTCTATTAGTAATAAGTATATATAATTAGATTAGAATTCTCTTTTAAAGTTCTTTTATAAAGTATTTAGTATTATAATTTTTTTAAAAGTATTTTTAAAATAGCTACTTTATAAGCTTAAAAGATTTAGAAGCTTTATATACTTTAAATAAAGTAGTACTAAAGCTATAGGCTTTAGCTTAATTAATACTATACTTTTAGAACTAAATAATTTTTTTTGTTATATACTATTTAGAGTACTACTAATAGTTCTTTCTTTTTTAGAATTAGTAGCTTTTTAAGCTATAAGTATTACTACTTAAGATTTAGATTTTTACTTAATAATAATTACTATATAGAGTTACTAAACTATATTTATTACTATTTTTTATATTTATCTTCTACTATAGTAACTATATAATAATTATTTAATTATTTATATTTTTCTATATAAATAAAAGACTTATAAATTAGTTAGAAAAGAGTTCTTTAAAGTAGTTAATTAAAAATTTAAGTAAGATTAGAAGCTTAGTATAGTTACTATTCTATAAATAGTATAGTATATACTATAGTACTCTAAATATAAGTCTTATAAATAAAGCTATAGCCTAGTAATAAATATATTAAAAAGAAATTTTATACTCTAAGAAAAGAAATAATCTAATAATAAAATATAAAGCTAAGATACCTAGTTTAATAATACCTCTACGCTTAGGCTTAATATATAGCTACTTTTCTTAATATAGTAAAGTATGAACTAAAGTTTTAAAAGACTAGACTCTTATAAATTTATATACTAAGAATATCTATAAATTTAATATATTATTAAATAAAGTAGAAAGAGTTAAGCTCTATCTATAAGATACTAAATTACTTTAAATATAATTTAGCTAATAAAGTAAGCGCTTCTTCTATATAGATTTTAATAAATAAATACTAATAATATTATAGAAGACTAAAAAGTAGTAGTCTAGTTAGAAGATAAGAGAGATACTTTTATAAAGCTTATTAATAATCTTATTAAAGTTAATTATATTTTTAATAGTAATAATCTTAACTTTATATAAGAGCTTAAGCGTTATAGTAATAATTAAGTTAATAAGAATATATTAGCGTATATATAAGTAGTTAGTTTTATTACTAAATAGCTTATAAAGTATAAGTAATAGATACTAAGTAGAATAGGTAGTTAGAGTTATTATATTATTAATTAAAATTTAATAACTATATATATATATACTATAATTTAACTTAGCTTTTTAAACTTTTAAAAAGCTACTCTTAATAGCTTAAGTTATGTATTTATTTTTTAGAAGTACTAACTAGTTTTTATAAATTAAAGTTTAGTTAAAATAATATATTATTAAAACTTAGTTAATCTTAGTAAATATTAATAAGAAATATAGTTAATAAGTTATTAAAGTTATAAGAAGTACCTAGGTTTTATTATAGAGAAGGTAGTTTACGTTATAATACTATAGTCTCTCTTTCTTGTTATCTTTGTAGTCTACACAATTGTTATAACCTGCTGCTGCTTTGGATTCCAGATAGCGGTGTTGAACCACCCGACGCGCTTGTACACATCTGTCCTACCAAACGGCCTTAGAATCAGGCCCCAGACAAACTCCCTTCCCGTCGAAACAAGTCTGCGTTCGGCGGTGGTCGCGACGCAACGAGCAGCTCCCATGTAAAGGTTATTTCTGTCTATGTGTTGATCGCAGTCCATGCCAAATCCGGTAAAGTCTTCTGCAGATAACAGCCTCTTGGCGAACACGCTTGGACGAGCTGAGCTGACAACTCCGTTCAAGACCAAGACTCCGCCGGTGACGCTGGAGAAGGGCGCGGTCGGAGATACAGGGGTGACGGTGCAGGAGATGACGTCAACCATAGGGCTATACCACTCGCAATGCTCTGTATGAAACGCGACAGGCCCGTCCAAGGCCATCCATGACCAAGACGGAGCTCTGGTCTTTGCTGGTCGCTTCGCGTCATGAACCTGCCAACATAGTTCGTGCAACAGATGTTTTTTCCACAGACCCGCGACATACGTGTCCTTCATAACTTCTTGAAAGTACGCAACTATTCCTGCTATGGCGCTGAGTTTGTCCCCCTCGTTTGTCATCGAGCGAGTCGAATAGTCTTTGACAACATCTCTCCAAAGTCGAAAAATGTACGGCTGTGTCTCAGCCAACGATGAAGGGTTGTTGAAAGAGCTGATGTTGGCTGAGTAAAAGCTCAGCGATGGACGTACTATTTTGCCGCCTGGTGCGAAGCGAATGGTCGTCAAGCCTGTAGATGCACAGTAACCGTTCCAGTCCGTCCAGCCATGTATACCACGATCCATTTGCTCGCACTTCCATCCAACGGAGTTCTTGCCAAAGATCAAAAGGCGTCGTGAGAGGATGATCTCTTGCAAATTCCAGGCTCTGTCATGTAGAGGTTCATGCCTGGGGCCCTCGTATGTTGGCAGCAGAGCAATGCTGCCGACGTTACCGTTCCCACAACCCACTGGTATCTCCAGGGCTGGCGGCAGACCATCCCGCACCTGAAGAAAGCCTTCAGCCGAACTCGTTGAGCAAGCGGCCACTATGGTGAAACATGCATTCTGGTAAATCTCGGCCATCTTCGCTATCTCCGTTCGCTTGTCGCTCTCCGAATCCTGTACGATACACAAGGCATCGACCCAAAGAAACTGCAAACCCATAGCTTTGGTAACTCTGACTGCATCTTGCAGCGTTTGCGGAAGGTTGTCGTACGGGATCTTGCGCAAGTGTCGCAACAGGCTCTTTTCGCTTGTAGTGACTGGTTGTGAATAGCCCCAACAGTAGCTCAGTGCTGCATAACGTCCCATTTCCCCATGTTTGGGGATGTATAGTCGAAGGTCTCGATCCTCGGCCGAAATGTTGGAGAGATTTATCAACCTTGCAGGAAGACTGGATTGGAGGCTCGCGCAATCGTCATGCCGATGGTCGCACTCCACGATCCACGAACGAATCGTACCGAAGGTCACTGGGTCCCCTCGATTCAACTTGGTAGTTGCCTGTGGCAGATACTTCGCCGCAAGATCACCTATAATGACTTTATCAGCTGTGACAAGGCGTCTAGGCTGTGACTGTACCAAAATTCGTTGTCGCTCGGTACTGTAAAGTGCCCGCAAAAACATCGTCCGGGGTGTTGATCATCAAATGTTTTCCTGATAGACGTAGCACGAAGCGAACTGCTCTTTCTTCCTCTGGCGTATTTGAGACAATAGCGGCGGCGCCCTGAAGTCGATTACGTCGAGCTCGTGACTTTTCATCTGCCTGATCTATGAAATCCTTCAGGATCCTGCAAAGCCTGCAGCCATCCTGAGCCTCATCTGTTATATTAGCCAAGGGTTTCGAGTAAATTAAACCTTTGGGTGAGAGCAGCCACGCGATTGGGCTTGTGTCTGTAACTGTAGTGGTAAGTAGACTCGCGCAGATGGGACCTATGTACGCTGGGACCGCCATCACGAGAGGGCGCCCAGGTGATAAAATGTCGCTGTGTGTTATGAGTACCTATCCAGAGGCGGCCGCTCTGAAAGCTTAGTGCAGATTTGTGTGAAAGCATATATGGTAGAGCCAGCTCTGACCATGAGTTACTGGGCATGCATAGATGTTATCGTGCTTACGTTGGCTGCGCGATCATTGATTAGTCGCTTAGCTACCTGGTGTTACACACGCGACGTGTCGCTGCCTCGTATTTAACCATTACGCCCAAATAGCTCTCAACCTTTGCCACCCACTCTATCTCATGAAGTCTCGCTATTTCCAAGGCATGCTTATACCTACCTAGGTACCTAGGTAGAACATGCAAATCGCAAGGTGTGACCCTGGCGATCAGAATGAACTGAAGATCGCAAGCGTTGAATGTAGAATGTATACTTATGTAGTGCTGTTGCCTAGAGAGGCTGAACGACGCTTCCAAACTGGAGCTTACCCAACCAATTAGGCCGTCAGCACGGCAACAAGTCCTGCGCGTTCGAGAATTACCGATGCTACGACAATATGTCTAAGCAAGGTTTGTTGGCCTAGTATACGTAGCAAAGATCGAGTGGTGCAAACTGCATGTAAACAACCACCGTATACCGTGGGAGATACATTTGGATTCATTCGGTATGGGCAGCTGCATTCTGCAGCTTGTAGTATCAAAGAGGTTCGGTCAAGATACATTTTGTTAGCATCTGTTCAAGTGCTATCGCTGATTCGAAACTCCTGTCGCTAATTGGTTTCCAAACTCGCCAACGCCTTCTTCTTCTGTTCCTCGCCCATAGGTCGTGGCAGCAGCCCAGGATCCGGGTGCCACATTTCCTCATCCGTCGCCTTCGATCCATCAGCATCCTCGAGTTCTGGCGTGAGCGCGCGGTAGTCTGGAGGAACGCGGTCCAAAAACGCTTTCACCAGCCGTGGGCTCAGTCCAACAGCATCGAGAACGGCACGATCCGCAGATAGATTTCGCAGAACGCCATCTTTGCCCAGGGATATGATGCTCAATTCAAGTGGGTCTTTGTTGAATTTAGCAAGGATTGCGGTGATTTCCTGCTGATCGGACGTGTTGCGATCGAATGTGTGAGGTGGGTTTGATGAAGTGGCTTCTGACGGAGCTTGCTCTGATGGACTATTTGAAGTCATTATTTGACGGATTAGAGCTGGCGAGGTTTTGATGGGTGTAGGTGAGAAAAGTGTTGCCGTTCAATTTTCAGGTGTGCTGCAGATAAGCATGCCAGAACCGGTGAACAGCCACATTGACATTGGGATCGCATCATGTAGGCTGATCGCGATCATGTTGGCACTTGGCAATCCAACGAAGGATTCCTTCCGGCACGTCATGCATTGGCGTGCATACGTCGACAGTATCGCTTAAGACACGATAGGAACAAACCCACCGAGAAGTTGCATCACAACGACAGAAGCACGACACCATAAGAAAGTGGAATGGGTGGTACAAATCGCATTTTGCATTCTGGAGCATAGTGAATGCTTGCTACCCAAGACAACCTGGTATCCCGCAACGCCAAACGATGCGCAGCCCATAAGCCCTTGACCGGGATGCGCGAGAGCCCAAACGCCAATACAGATACTCTGTACATATATCATCATGTTCATATACAATCCAGATCCCCCGTTCAAGCAGCTGGCCCACTCGCGCCAGGAGCAGCATCCGCTTCATTCCTGTTCGGCGCTCCTTGTTGTGTCGAACTCTCATCAGCTCTTTCTCTCCTGCTGCGACCGCTGAAGACATCACTCAGTCTGGCACTGATACGCCTGTTCCTCCTGTCACGCGCGCCGTCGATATCCTCGGCGCTCGCATTTGCACTGCCACTTGCGACATCACCGCTTTGATTCCTCCGTTGTTCTCGTAGTCGTCGTAGAGCAGAGATACGCTCTTCGGGTGACGCGTTCGGCCGTTGACGGAGGGACAGGATATCGAAGAGCGCGGTGCGGCGACGGTGGGATGTGTCGCCCTCGGGGTTGAGAGGCGGAGCGAGCTCATCTTCTTGCGATCCCGATGAATCGCGCGAGTTGACTGGGCGGAGGTCGACCCGGCTGGTAGACATTAGTACAATGTTTGTGTGTGTGAGGTTGAGGAGTAACATACCATAACGGACATGTGCCCGATACGTTCAGTAGCCATGGGTCCACGCATTCTGGATGGAACTTGTGGTCGCATGGAAGAACACGGAGATCCTGGCCCTTTTCGAAGTCTTCGGTACAGATCGAGCATCCCAGACTTTCATCTGGTGAAGCATTGTCAGTACCCGTTGTCGCACCAGCGGCAACAGGTTGTGCCGGCGCGATGCCCGATTGCTGCTCTTCCGCGGGGTCCGATGTTACGACCTGTGCTGTCTCAGTCGCACCAGGCACAGAAGCTGGAGCGGTATCATGCTGGGTCGCAGCTGTTCCTCCGCTCGCTTGGGCTTCTGTGTCCGTGTTTACGCCATTCACATCCCGTGTTTCTGCCGTCGAGCCCAATTCGACATCAGCGGGTTTCGCCGGCTCCTTCTCGCCAAACTTGACAATGGGTATGGTATCCAGGATAGCTCTTCCCAATCCCCTTGCCCTGCTTTGCCTTGGTCGTCCGAGTACGTTTCGAGGGCCGTATCGCTCGGGGTGGCGATGCGCGCGAACGGCGCCGGTGATGATGATGACGAGGAACAAGGCTGTGATGATGCCGGTGATACTGTATAGAATGATCATGGCGACGGCGGTCGACGGCGATGGTCCTAACGGGTTCTGCTGGTACTGGCCGTTGCCGGAGTCGTTGTTCCCCTCATCCCGCGCCTTGACTTGAACGAAGTATTTCATAGCTGCCGGCATGTCGATGATGTCGTTGCGCACTTTTGCCGAGTCCGCTCTGTTGGTCATCGAGTATATGGCGAACTCGTCCATCATGACTTGTGTCTTGTCCTGAGTATAGTTGCAGTAGTCTGACGTCCTGCTGTACAGTATGACTGCCGAGATGTTGCCTTGCAAGTAGGTTTGTTCGAAGACGCCCTGCGCAGTGTCGTAGCCGATGTAGTCGGTGGAGTCGCAGCTGATGTATGCGATTTCGTCATTGGAGATGCCGACGACGCTGGTGTAGTTGGTATTGTACAGATTGCCCTGGACCTAGTGCTTTGTCAGTGCATGAAGGCGATGCGACGAATAGTGTTTGACGAACTGAGTTGGCGGCATCCTTAGTCAATGGGATCAGGTCGGCTATCCTGGTCCCGTCGTCGCCCTGAGCGTTAGTGAGCGGCAGAGTGCCGTCGTAAAGATTTGTACGCGCGGTAGATGTGTTAGACGAGGATATCGTGGCCGAGGCGACGGTCGCGAACAAGAGCCACGCCAATCGCGACGGCAGGCGGCGCGGTCGCACGAGCAGCATCTCAGGGTCTATGCTGTGGATGATGCAACACTGGGTAGCAATATCGCTCGCTCAGCAGCGAACGGCTGACCGTCGGCCTTATCGATGACCAGCACACCAGGCCCGACGCCTCATGGAGAGAAGATCTCGAGCGCGGGGTGTGGCTTCCGCTGTCGCGCGTCTTTGGCAAAGCCCAGGCGGTTCAAAGCGAGTATACGACAAAGCAAATCCCGCGACTGCGCACTACCATATCGCGCGCGAACACCAAACCGCGACATAGAAATAGACGGGGCAGAGAGGGTCGATTGAAGCCTCGACGGAGAGGCGCGGACTGCCATGGCGTATCGATTGATCTTCACACGCCCGCTGACGCCGGCGACCCACTGTAATCTGCCACTCCGAGACTGCCGCACCATGTGCGCGCACCCTCCTCTCCAATCCTCCCACGTTGGATCGCCCGGCCGCCCCACTCCATGCGCTGCGACTTGCGCACTTCGCCGCATCGTGACCTGTAAGATATACCCGCCTCACTCCGCGCATCTCGACTTCGCACGCCATCGCAGAAAGTTGTGAAGCCGTCGTCACCTGCATGGCTGAGCAGCCTTCACGGACCGACTTCATGTCTCTTTGAATCTATAGGCTTCACGTAGACGGCTATGCGAAACACGATGTTCGAGCACATCCTGATCAAGTTTCTTGCAGTCCAAGGTAGGACTCATGCATATGCTTTCTCTGGTGCCGCACCGGAAGAACACTGCACGCTGCATGGGCTGATCATCAATCACCGCTCGACCTGCGTGCAGCCCAACATGAATTATACTTCACAGATCAACAGAGCATCTTCATGTCCGATTACGTGGCAGTCGTGCCACTATTTGTGCGTTTCATAACTAATTATTCCCAATACAAAGTTTTCATCAAACGCCTGCGCTATGTACCTTTTGTGCAGAAACCTGCCCATTGCAAACACTCATTAACATTCTTCTAACATCCCCCTCCATACCTCAATATCACAATAAAGCTTTTCAGTACGCCACGCCACTGCGACCTCTTCCAGGTGTCTTGAATGTCATAGACTGCACCTGCTGCTCGACCAAAGCCCCAAGCGCCAGCGTGTCCATCGGATCGACGCCCATCTTCTGGAAGTCGTTGAATCCGGAAAGGTAGAAGCCGGCAATGACGACAAGATACGACAAGATAAGAATAGAGCCCTTGAAGTAGTTGCTCTTACCCTCGCCGTACATGTACGACAAGAGAAAGACGCAGAGGATGACGGTAACCATGTCCCACTGCGGGAAGATGAGAGTGAACGTCTGGCTGGCAACGTCCTGAGCGGGAATGTACCCAGTGTGGATGGCACTGTAAAACACCAAAGCCGGAATCTGGAGGAGACACACTTGGAGAGCGTATGCGGAACCAATCTCCATGGAAAGTGCAATGTTGCCGTTCATGGCAAACGAGATGGCGTTGAGGAATTCGGTCGTGTTGGGAACCAATGCGAAGAGTGTGATACCCAAGAACTTTTCGTCGATGTCAGAGCCCTCGAGAACACCATCAACGGTATTGACGAGAATCTCCGCAATGATGGCATATGCGACAGTCGCAGTCAGCAGGATAGCAGCACTCTTTTGACGGCTCCAGTTTGGTGCATCGTGCCCACCAGAGGCATGCCCAGTCGCTGTATCAAGCTCCTCGGGTGCAGCTTCTGTGTTTGTTCGCGTGTGAGCGGGGCGTTCTGCATGCGCTTTGGTAGATGTATGGGCGAGTTGCGCTGCCTTGCGTGGAGCCCTGGTAACGTCACGGGTCGCCAAAGCGGTCGTCGTTGCCGCGATCTCGGTGATTTGTCGCGCAAGCGACTCTGCAGCATCATCTGTAAGTCCCTCAACGTGGAAAGAGTGGTGCGAGACAGCGTCGCTCTCTTTTGGCGGTACCATGTGCGGTGTGTTGCTATCCGATTTGGATCCAGGCCGACCGGTGTCTGATGCAGTGTGTTCAGGTCCAAGACCAACTTCTTGCAAAGTCTGGCTAACCATACGTTTGTACAGCTGGCTGTCGCGTATGTGCGCACGAGATATGGAGTTTCCTGTCGCTTGCCTGACGAAAGAAGCATGTGGGAAGTCCATGTGGCCGCTTTGACTGAGACTGCTGGCGCTCATCTCGAGTAGCTTCTTCTCTTGAGCATCTGGCTCCGTCCAAATTGTCGCAGCATGGGTACGAAGGGTGAAGAGAAGACCAATGATGTAGGAGAAGAACAGGAGAGCAGCCGCGAACCAGGTGTAAGGCTTGACAGCTTCGTTGTAGAAGCGATCATTGAGTGCTGGTGTTTGTGAGTAGTAACATCTACGGCAGTCTCGCTCAAGGGGAACGTGGTGATTGGAGTGCACGCATGAGTGGCAGTTGAGTTCATGCTGGTTAGAGTTAGCACAGGATCGACGTGCAATGGGGCTATACTCACGCTTCCGTAGATCTGGTAGAACAATGTCGGACCGAAAGCGCCAATGACGGCGAATAGCAGCATGGTGGAAGTGACACCAGCGGATCGCACATTGAAACGCTGAGTCTTACGCTTGAGAGCACCAAAGCACATGGACAGGCCTGGTAGGAACAGAATACCTGCAAAGATACTGCCGATGATACTACCCTCGACGAGTTGAGCTTTGCCTTGTTTGAGGGCTACGCAGTACAGGAAGACTTCGACGACAGTAGAGAAGAAAGCGTTGATAGTAGCGCCAACACCCATGGAGGACTGAGCTGAGATGGAAGCTACAGCCTGACCAATGAAGTATGCCAACGGAATAATTGACAGCAGTGCTAGGGAGAACAACAAGAACTGGTCAGTCAGCCAGAACTTCATCTCCAAAGCTTCGGCCAAGACGAAGTAGTCGAAGATGGTGAAGGCGACCAGGCCCAGAAGGTTGATGAGGAAGATGTTGGTTCCGTCAATAGTGTACTTCCAGTACTTGATGCCGACTGCGCGGTAGGTACAGAGCAGGATCGAGGACGATTCTCCGGGGCGGCGCACGTTGCCGTTGTCGGAGTGGAACGAGAGCGCCAGGGGATGGCGTCGCAGATGGTCGAACAGCAGCAGGGTAGTCTTGCCCATGGGAATGGTGAAGACGAGGAACCAGCACAGAGCTGAGACGAGGAACAGCGAGGGTGTGAGGAAGCCGTAGAAGAACAAGAAGAAGACGACGCGGCCAAGATTCCACTTGCCACGGCCAAAAAGCCTCCTCTTAGTGTTGGCGGTGTCGGTGTGGTTGACATTGGCTCGTCCATCTCTGCCGAGGAGGCTTGTCGTCTCTCCACCTGCTGAATCTACGCTGTTGCGTCGGCGGCCGATCAAGGAGCTTGTTCCGGTGGTTGGGCCAAAGAAAAGGCGTCCTTCTTCGATATCGCCGCTCTGCCACTGCTCGTACTCGCTGATGCTGCGACCCTCGCCCTCGTCCTCTTCTATGTAGGCCTCATCCTGCATGAGCTTGACGTACTTGCCGAAGGGGTAGAAGAGGTAGCCGGCCAGGGCGAAAAGCAAATGGGAGTACTCCTTGCAGCTTTCGTTGAAGCCCAGGAGCGCGCACAGCAGACCACCCACCGTAGCAACAGCAGCTAGCCACCATCCGAATACGAGGGTCCATACGAGATTGAAGAGAAGCAGCCATCGGCTGACAAAGAGGCCTGGCGACGAGTGGATGTCTTCTTCAGCGTTGCGCTGGACCGAACGACCCTTCTTGTAAAGCGCGGGCTTCCAGATCCTGATACCGAAGGGATGTGTGACGTTGATGGCATCCTGGCGGTCGCGCAGCGTGAAGCTCTCGGCGTCGCTCAGGTCGTCGTCTTCATCGCCGCCTCCGCTCTCCTCCTCCTCTGCTTGTACCGTCTCCTCGCTGGACGAGGGCGTCGCGTCTGCATCGGCGCCGGTCGGAGGGCCGGCGTTCTCCTGCTCGACCTCGTCGTCTTCGGTCGAGTCGATGGTGGCTAGGTTGGGCGGGGGCGCGGCGGTGCGGCGGCGGACGGTCGAGGGCTTGCGGCGCAGTGTCTGTCGCTGCTTCTTCTGCTGGTCCTGCTGGGCCTGGTCCAGCTCCACCTCCTCTTCGGCGTCGTCGACACTGAACTCCTGCCCCTTCTGCGGCCATTTCGACGACGTAGCGCGCCGGCTCATGGGCGGCTTCTTGGGCTTGGTCAAGCTTTCGTGCGCCGTCGCTGCGGCCTGCTGGCGGCGCTCGATGCCGGACGTGATGGAGCCTGCAGCGGTGTTAGCATCATGATATCCTCTCCGGGCCGCCAGATGATGCGCGTACCGTAGCCAGAGGGCTGCATGGCAGCTTGCGGCCGTCGGCGCGCCGAGTCGCTGGGCGTCGCGCTCTGGGTGGGCGTGTCGCTGCCGGTGCCATAGGTGCTGCTGCGGCGCGACGTGTCGGGCGACGGCTTCGCTTTACCCGCGGCGGGCGTGCGATCTTCCATGGTGGTGTCGCTGTGCGAGGGAACTGTGAGGTTGGGCAAGGGCAGGCTGTCAGACTATCTGTAGTTCAACCTTGTTTTGGGAGCTGCTGTGGTCACAGCTCAAATGCTCAAACTACGTGGCTCTCCGCACAAGTCACGATTCTGCCGCCGTACGATGACAGCTGTTAGGCAAGAGCAAAGATGCATTACCGCGCTCGTCGTGCCCCTCTGAGTGTGCGTGTGGGTGGGAGCAAAGCTGCAGATGACCCTGTTAGACGTCCATTCCCCGGCGATCCATGACTTTAGCGCCCAATGTCTCACCCTGCTCCAGATAAGATAACCACTGCCCAGGCAAGCTGCACGTAATTCACGGCTTCCGCGGCAACTGAATCTCAATGTCAAGAACCGCCTAGAATAACGGTCGCTGTTAGTACTATTCTACGATGCAGAGCGTGGCGGTGCAAGCATGATGTCATCTGAGCTGTGGCTGGAGAAGTAGTACTAAGGTAGTCTCCTGCACCCCAACGTCCCAATCCCACACCCACCCAAGACACACGACATAAGAAAAGACATCTGCTGCTGCTAGAACAAGGCGCGAACGCCCAGATCGCTAGGTCCTTAGCAGTCTAGAACAACGAGCATTTCGATATCTACGCCTGCATGCGGCTCCACGCACTAGTGTCATCAAAGGTTAGCCTTCAGCCCAGCTCGAATGTCACATGCGTGTCGACGGGCACGTGTACCACCCTTGAGCTGGCAAATCTTCCATCGGCATCTGGTGCTGCAGTACGGAATCGGTTCGCCTGATCATTAATCGAGATGTAGCAGTTTCTCATACTGTACCGCTGTAGAAGCTACGGCACTAGTCCGCCTCATCGTCTATGATGCTGCAGCCCTGCCCAGGTGGAGCCGCGAACCCCTCATCCGGCACTAGGCATGTATACCAGTCGTGTTGCAGTTCACAAGACATCGATGTATGATCGGACTTTCTATCTCTATCTAGGTAGAGGATTACGTTGCCTCGGGATGTATCCAGTGGTCAACATTTAATTGTACGTATTCAGCAACACATGCGTGAATCGAAATCTGGCCACGCCTGGTGCCAGTAGCGCAATGCGCCAGTACAGCCATAAATGCAGCCACTGCTGGGGCACACTCAGCCGCACTCGACCAGAATTTGGATAATGCTTGAAAAGGCCGGCCTCCCATATGTTTGGATTGGTTTCTGGCAGCCGACCTCGGAAGTCAACCCCTGACGTCTCTCTTTACTTCCTGTCGTCTCAATCGTACCGAGATATGGACCTCCTGAATATCTTCCTCTTAACCACGAGCGTTGTTGCATTTGCCTACACCGTTCATTTTGTCTACTTGGACAGTGCACGCCTACGGGGCGAAATTGTCGAAGAAGCTAAATCAAGGAAGCGTGCCTGGCATCTCCGAGTGGGACCGGTCGTCTGCTCGATACTGGCTATAATTGCCTTTGTTCTTATACTGTTACCAAGGAACAGTCTATCTGAAGCCTGTTTGCCAGAAAACAACGAAATTAACCCGGATGTTGGGGGCATTGGTGTCCTGCTTGGCCTTTTTCTACCTTGTCTTGTACTCCTCCTGGTACTAATCTTAGGTCATTTCACAGCACATACCTCAGGTGCGAAAGAGCTTTGCATGGCTCAGTTTGCGAGTAAGTTGCGAAGAGCACTGAAGCGTATTTCGGGTTTAACACAGCATAGACTTGTTTTATCTCACAATCAATCTTGCCAAGGGGATGAGAAGATTAAACGCTCAAGAGCTTGGTATTGCCATATCCAGTGTTGATGCGGTCAGTGCTTCGATGTCCATGGCTTTCTCGGATAAGGATGTGCTCGCTGCGCGGAAGCTGGTCTTTTTTGGATTCTTGACACAGCTCGTTGCCTACGGCGTACAGGCTGCGGCTTTCGATGAATACTCGCGGCGTGACACTTTCCGCTGTAACTCCTCTACAACGAATCAGGCATTGCCGCAATCCTACTCGACATTCTACTGGGTTTACTGGTCCCTCCGGGTGGTGGCATCGATACTCCCAATCCCGGTAGCCCATCGTCTCACGTCGGACTTGAACAAGATTGAACATAAGAACAATAATACACAAAGCTCACGAGTCAAAGCCACAGCACTATGGAGGTCTCTACCCGCCACTTTAGCGACGAGTTATCTGATCTACGGGTCGTTCGTACTACTCCATGGACTATCTATCTACAACATTTTGCGCGGAACGAACACTATCGAACAGTCATGGCTTGCCTTGATGACCGAGTGGGGCCAAAGTGCCAACGCCATCATCGCCATATTTGCCGTCGGTCATGTCATATACGCAATCTATAGGCTGTTCGTTGCTGAGAGCAGGAATAATGATGCACAGCCTCCTGGGCTCAGTGGGCAATCAATCAGTGAGGCCTATCCCCCAGACGGCTGGAAGGCATGGAAGCACTGGCCTTGGAACGCGAAATGGTGGCCTTTCCATCTGGGATTAGACTACTTGGACCATCTCTTAGTAGACGAAGGTGAACTGCAACGAATCCTGGATCCGCCTCTCTACCTGACTGAAGAAGTATCAACAGAGCTTTGGGAAAAACTGATGAAAAGCTTTACTTCGACCGAGCCTGGCCTCGTCCTCGATTGTCTGATTCATGGAGCCCCATCAAATAGATGCAATGAGGAGGGTGACTATCCCATCCATCTAGCTGCCCGCAATAACGACATCGATATCTTGATGAGAACGCGCTTCACCTTTGATGACGATATATACAGCCGAGACTCTCTTTTACTCCAAAATCTAGCTGGCGAAACCCCTTTAGAGATCGCGTGTAGCGCAAATGCACACGAGGCCGTGAAGTGGATAATGGGTGAACTCCCACAGGGGCACGAAGAAACCGAAGCAGCCGTTACTCGAGCATTCAAACTGGCTATCGCAAATGAGAGGGAGGGACTCTTGAAGATCTTACAGCATCTGTGGCCGGAATGGAGAGCGCTGAAGATAACGACGGGAAAGACCTCCAAATCGACTCCACTGCGCTTTGCCATAGACGAGGGTAAACAGAAATCTGCCTATCGGCTTGTCGATCCTACCGTTACATCAAGAAGACAACCTAATGCCCGCAAGATCTTCGACATGATCTGGAAGTCTCAATTGGCCGGTGGCTACCTAGAGATTATGCTGGATCACCTTCAAGAGCCTATCGACTCTATACGTACTGACATAATCGATGAAGTTATGGGTTCCCCTACAACCAGTAACGCCGAAGCTTTGGACATTCTGCTAGACCTAGGAATTGATATCCCCGCAATTCTTCGACAATCGATATGTCATGCGGTGCTCCCCATGACCCATTCACAGCAAGCAGCCAACAACATATGGGAAGATATCCTGCGAGATGACTACACGATTGAGCCACAGGAGCTAGAATCAATCCTTGCCTTCGAAGTACCAGCGACCCGTAACCTAGATGACGAAGTTGAAGGACATAAAGATGCTATCAGAACTGCATTGAGCCCTCGGGGCGCGCACGACTGGTCTGAGGTGGTGCTTACAGCGACGAATGCGTCAACAGAGGACCTGGAGAAGTTGATAGCGACGGAAAAAGACAAGAACATGCTGCAGCGTATGTTGAATGTCAAAGATAAGAGAGGACACTCACTCCTAAGGTTTACGATCTCGGAGGGCATGGATGAGGTCGTTGAGAAGCGAAAGAGAAGACTGAGATACCTCGAGACTCTTCTGATACGCGGGACCATCGTAGCAGAGCCGGACCTGATGAGTGCACGTGAACTTTCGTTTCGTCACGAAGGGAATCTCGCGAGTTTCATGCTACTGGCGGTATATGCCCACCGAGATGTCTTGTCCGACTTCTTGCGCACCCTGTGTAGTGCACCGAGGGTCCACAATGGATTGGACTTCAGTCATTACGCCCTAATTGACATTCTGCTTAGATGTAACGCCGACCCAACACTCTTGGATGGAAGTGGTAAGACCCCTCGAATCGCTCTCCATGACGCCATGGCGAAGAGACCGATCAAAAAGAGCTCCAGAAAGGACGACAAGGTCTTCAAGAAAATGCAGAACACCAACCGTTTCTATCTCGAAAAGATTTCGGAACTTTTGCTGCGCTGGGAGAACCACATCAAAGGTTCACTCGGTCGTAACCCATTGGAGATGCCAGACGGTCTATGGAAAGCAGGACGTGACACCTTTGATCATGAGACATGGGCGTGGCTGGTCGCCAGGAACCCTGAGGGCTACAAAGTGGTGGAGGATTGATGAGAAAAACTGGAAATGTACTCGGAAGCCTACATTGCCTCAACACCTTGTCGGATTTTGGGTTTGATACGAATGTAGCCGGTAAAGCTCATGTTGATTTTTCCGTCCTGCTTGACGTGTTATAGATCTCATAGCGTGCTACTATCCTGCCACGTCCTTTCTCCCGACGATGTATCTGATGGAGTGCCAACATTGATACATGGCGGAGCGGAGAAAGACAGGACGGAATGATCTTGCAAGACAAGATCAAAGCCATTCGGAGACTGACCGACATCCGGAGAAAGTGTTGGCATTCATATGTCTAAAGAGTGTATTCCGAATCTACCATGCGTCTCGCCTCGCGCAAACCTAGTCGTTCACCCCCATCTCCATCCCAGGCCAGTACCAGCATTCAATAACTCAGAGCTGAGCCATTTCCAGACCCGCTCATCATCGTCAAATCGCAATCCTCTCCACCGCATCCTTCATAGCCCTAATCTGTCCCATCAAATCGCTCGCCTCATTGCTGGTGAGGCTGACTGCCACAACCGAGCGACCGACGCCACACGCGCGTCCCAGCGCCATTTTACTGGGCACATAGACGAACGGCACGTTCTTGTCTTCACACAATAGTGGAAGATGAAGTGTAATGGCGAGGGGCTCGGCGTCGCTAGCCATGATGATGAGCTCGGAGGTGCCTCGGTTCAACGTTTTGGTTGCTTCATTGGCGCCTTTGGAAATTTGGTGG